TTTTACTGAAAAACTGCTAGTATTTTTTGTGATATCTGCCAGTATGAATATAAAGCATTTTCTAGCTAAAAAATGGCCTTGTTTATCAGTATGCAGTTTAATAAGTATAACACTGATGGGCCACAGGCTCTGTAATTACCAAGCTTGTGGCCAATGTTTAAGTAATAACCAACTTAAACTTCTGCAATTTTAATGTATTTCTACATTGTACAAATTCTCATTTATGTACAGTACACTTTCTTAAATGAAACTCCAGATAAACCACACTCATTCATTAAATCAATTTTGCTAATTTTTATACCTCATGATAGCTAATTGATTAACATTTACATTGTCAACAGTATTTCATTGTCTAAATTGTAAGAGAATGTAGTGCCTAAGCACTATTATATAGTTATTTATGTAAATATATATATATATATATTTGTATCGGGTTTTTTTTTTTAAACATTTCGTTTTTGCCCTAATATCGGTTTTTGGATGGGTAAAACCCATCGCTAGTGCGGATTGGTTAGCAACGGACATGACGTCACGCGCAATGGCGGGGATTATAAATGTTGGACTCCCGTCCACCAGGTACTTTTTGGTTCTTCCTTTGGTCCCAACCAGTTGTGCGACAAAAATAGACTGTGGTGAAAGAACAAAGGAGAAGGAAAACTACACATGCGGACATTCAATTGAATAGTGAATAGAATCCGGACCCATCGAGGAGAACACGTCTATGGTATGAGAAATACCACGTCAGATTTATAAAGGAAACTTCAAGGAACGTCCGAAGAATATTATTGTCGGTATGTGAATTGCTGTATCTTGATATTTAAGTAATTTCTTCGATCCTTTGTCTCTAAAACCCAGAATTGTAATTATGTTCCTTCTCATGTCATTTAGAATATATTAACTTTGTATTTTATGTACTCATAATTAAACCTTATTGTTAAAAATGTACAAAATTGTAAAGTCCTTGATTAATGTGCCTTTACCCGACCACTTCGCCCAATAGACTTAGGTCCATTGGGGCTTAACATTGGCGTCCGCGACAGGATATTGTAAAAGGATTCTTAATAATACTGTAAAAAGGGGTAAGGCCTGTTGTGTAAAAGGACTAGTAATTCGGGAACTTTCTGTGGTATCGCAATTGGTAAATCATGGACGAACAAGTTTCAAGCGGATCACTTGGTGAAAGAATGGGAGAGATAGGAAATGCACCAGTGGTGACAGGCTTTATGGGGATGATCCNAAAAAAATAACTGTAGTAAGAAAAACAAATGAAAAATGCGAACTAATGTAACGTCGTATGGTGAGTTTTTGTTCGTATCGTGGAGCAAAAATATGTTCGAATTTCATGTCGTATCCTGAAAATTTCGTATGCTGGGGCGTTCGTAACCTGAGGTACCACTGTAATAGTTTGTAATACCCAAATAGTTAAATTTCAATAATAAAAACTGATATTGAAGTTATTTGTTACAAATCAAAATTGGTTTGAACCACTCTTAATTAATATATGTATGCAACATTACTTTTCACATGTAGAAGTTATTATCAATAATGTGTAATTTTATTTCATTATATAATATACAATGATTCCAGTTCACTAGGTTTTTCAAAACCTAGTAAACTGGAATCACTGTGTTGCTTTTTGTCCATAAGATTTGTCATATTAAATTATACATTTTGCTAGACTCTCCTTTTCAGCTCTGTACATTTTCATAGAGAAGCTTGAGATTGTACCTCCTACATATTGCACAAACATCATCTTTTCACATGTATATGTCAAAACAAGAATGCATATGCAGATATTCTAAAGTTCTAAAATGAAATTTGGTTGTCTCTCTGCACTTTGGACACACCTTATTTACTAAATATTTTCATGTTTATCATTTTTTGAGAAGAAAACAATTCCTATTCAGGATGATAATAACAGCAGCACATCTTGTCTCATTATGGAGCACTTCTATTATATCTTTTAAAATTTATTTTCTTAATTTTTTAAAATAATTTCTTAATTAAAATTTTTTCCCAATGTATCTGTCTTGTAAATAGCCAATCAATGCCATTAATTTAAAATACAGATTTATTTACACATTGATTCCTAAATCTACTCTTTATATACTAAATACTTAGAAGTAAGAGTTTTGTATATATAATGCAATCTCATCACACTTATAAACTTGTGCATCAGTATACCCTTCTTTTTTAATGGAAATTGTGAACTGTTTGGAAAATTCTGCAGCACCTGCAATATCACTAGACTTTGCTTCATCAGAAATGGAAATTTGGAAGATGCCATGTCGTTTTTGCCAACACCACAACCAACCGTCAGAAGCCTTAAAATCTCCTTCTGCTTTTAAGCTTACATGGAATTTTTCAGCCTGCAACTTTAAAGCAATTCCAGATATGGGAGTACCTTCACTTCTTTTTTGCACAAACCATGCATAGAGGCAATCGTCAACATTTTGATTTTTTCCAAGTCTTGTCTTTTTTCAAGTAAGCCCAGCATTTTGGTCAAGCTTATCAACAAACGATTTCAGTTTTGTCTCCTCTGCCATCCAACCCCTTACAGTTCTTTCAGGTATGCCGTATTCTCTTCTTATGTTTGCTTTCGTAACTCCACTCTTTATTTTAGAAATAATGTTAAGCTTTTCTTTTACTCATCATGCATACAATAATTAAACACACTATTCAAAATACATGCAGGAACTCAATACTTACACAATTACTCAATATGCAGTAACAATAAAATGCGCTACTCACTAATGCCACACGGACCTGTATAAACGTGTTTGAGCTTATCGCGTCGCAAACATCACCCGCACCATAACCAAGTGCGTGGTATGGCAAACAGCGCTATAACGAAGGTCCACTGTACTAGATTAACTTCTAAAGTATAATTTTTTTGTTTTTATATTTTTCAATATATTTATTTTGTTTGTACAAAATAAAGAAATAATTTTTAACGATACAATAGCCACAATTATTATTATAAAAATTTTCGTTAGGCTTAACATCGACGAAAATTCAACACAAAGCGACACACAACGGAGAAAAATTTAAACGTAAAATATATTAATATACTATTATTGGGATTTACTAATATACTATTTTTTTGTACATAATCGGTTATCCGAAAAATCGATTTTCCAAACAACCCCAGTCGATTCGGATAATNTATTTTCTTAATTTTTTAAAATAATTTCTTAATTAAAATTTTTTCCCAATGTATCTGTCTTGTAAATAGCCAATCAATGCCATTAATTTAAAATACAGATTTATTTACACATTGATTCCTAAATCTACTCTTTATATACAAAATACTTAGAAGTAAGAGTTTTGTATATATAATGCAATCTCATCACAGTTATAAACTTGTGCATCAGTATACCCTTCTTTTTTAATGGAAATTGTGAACTGTTTGGAAAATTCTGCAGCACCTGCAATATCACTAGACTTTGCTTCATCAGAAATGGAAATTTGGAAGATGCCATGTCGTTTTTGCCAACACCACAACCAACCGTCAGAAGCCTTAAAATCTCCTTCTGCTTTTAAGCTTACATGGAATTTTTCAGCCTGCAACTTTAAAGCAATTCCAGATATGGGAGTACCTTCACTTCTTTTTTGCACAAACCATGCATAGAGGCAATCGTCAACATTTTGATTTTTTCCAAGTCTTGTCTTTTTTCAAGTAAGCCCAGCATTTTGGTCAAGCTTATCAACAAACGATTTCAGTTTTGTCTCCTCTGCCATCCAACCCCTTACAGTTCTTTCAGGTATGCCGTATTCTCTTCTTATGTTTGCTTTCGTAACTCCACTCTTTATTTTAGAAATAATGTTAAGCTTTTCTTTTACTCATCATGCATACAATAATTAAACACACTATTCAAAATACATGCAGGAACTCAATACTTACACAATTACTCAATATGCAGTAACAATAAAATGCGCTACTCACTAATGCCACACGGACCTGTATAAACGTGTTTGAGCTTATCGCGTCGCAAACATCACCCGCACCATAACCAAGTGCGTGGTATGGCAAACAGCGCTATAACGAAGGTCCACTGTACTAGATTAACTTCTAAAGTATAATTTTTTTGTTTTTATATTTTTCAATATATTTATTTTGTTTGTACAAAATAAAGAAATAATTTTTAACGATACAATAGCCACAATTATTATTATAAAAATTTTCGTTAGGCTTAACATCGACGAAAATTCAACACAAAGCGACACACAACGGAGAAAAATTTAAACGTAAAATATATTAATATACTATTATTGGGATTTACTAATATACTATTTTTTTGTACATAATCGGTTATCCGAAAAATCGATTTTCCAAACAACCCCAGTCGATTCGGATAATCGACGCTCTACCGTAGTATAGAAATTTGTAAAAAGATTCATAACGTGGTTATAATAAAATATTAATTTTAATTAATTCAAAGTACATTAGAATATGAAAATAATTGTGCAATAGGTATTTATATTTTAGAAAATACAAGGGAAGCGGCGCTTCCACCGCTTCCAAGGACGGCACGCCACTGCCGTACACCGAACCGAAATTATTTTTACCCGGGGCTCGCAAAGGAAAATCGTATAGCGAAACCACTTTCCCTTCAGCCGATTTCATCTTAAACAGATTAAGGCAATTTCGACCTATCTCGCGTTTGAAGAGTTAAATTTTATACGAATATAATTTTAATAAAGACGAAACAAACGTCTACTCTACAGAATTTAAAAAACGAAGCACGAAAGGACTACTTTCATTATAAATCCTATTCTTTGAAAATCTTTTACTAAGAAAAAATATTTACATAAGTATATTTCATAAGACAATTTCTAATACTTAAAAATTTTAAACTTATTAAATATTTTTAAAAATCTATTACAAGTACTTTTTTATATTTCTCATTGTAAAAAGTTGCAACTTTGTAATCTTCTGGAAAGGACAATCAACTAATGCAAAATTATATTTCTTAAAGTAAAAGAAAAAGAATAACTACCTCTTAGTTTATCAGGGATCATTTCACCGGGCAGAAGCGGAGGTTCATCGCTTCTATGCGGGATAACATTTAATTCCCGCTGTTTTGACTAAGGTAAAGAAAGAAAAGGATTATTTCTCACAACTTAAATATTTCTTATCTCGTTTAATTTATTTATATTAAATAATTATCGATAACAGAACTTTTAATACCGACACTAACAACGAATGTTTATTATGACGCAGAAAGAGTGGAATACCTTTAATTCTTGTAGGGGGATGTTTTCGGTGGACGTCGACGAAGAGGAACACGACAATTTGGATGGAGACTGCGACCCTTTGGACTGCGAGCTTTGGCTTCCTCCGGACTCTTGGCCGATTTTAGAATTTAAAGAACTGGATTTAGACTCCGAACCGGCTAACGAATCCGTACTCGTAGTCTTCGGTTTGGCGGCACTTCCTTCTCCTACTTCCATTTCTTTAAATCGGCAAAAAATAATTCTAAACCCTTTCCATTCACAAAATGAAAACACAAATCCGCCCGAAACGCCCTCTCTTATCGATTGTCGGTATTTTTAAAATAAAAAATATTTTTGACTCTTTTTACGTTATAAAATTCCTTTTGCAGATATTTATAATATTTCGTGACCGACTCGACTGTTTCCCTGCTAAAAAAGCGAAAGAAATTAATCTTTAAAGTATAAATGATTATATTTAGCTAAAATTTTAATATTAAAGCGTAATATTTAGAAAAAATAAATCCTTTTTTCCCAGAATCGTTCGGATTTTAATCGACTCTAAATCCCACAAATCGAATTTCATTTGATTCCGGTAGAAATCGTTTAAATTGATAAGACTGGACCCCAGATACTTAAAGTAAAGCGTTCCGGCCACGCCGTATACGAGTAAACCTGACAGAAATTTAGTTGTGTATTTTTTTAATACTTAATATTGCTAAAATTATTTCTTAAGTATATGTTTTGCCGAGTAAAACCACAAGAAAAATAAATAAAATGTATTTTTTTAACTCTTTCCGCCCTGTGAGTACTAACAGAGCCTCTTTAAGCGAGCCAATTATGGGTTCGGCCAGGCCCGTAACGGGGCGGCCGGGTGGTAAGGGATGGGGCCGACATATCCATTATCCCGAAAGTTTCCTGAGGAAATTTCAACTCTTCCGGATTCGATCTCGAGTCCCCAGAGCGAGCGGCTGCTACCTTAACTGCTCGGTCATGCGGACGACTGAATAAAATGTATTTAAATGCAATTTTATAACGCATTAGGCTGCGATTTGCGCCCTGCAATAATGACAAATTTACAAAGTAAACGATACGCTAAATTAACAGTATACTAACGAGTAATAACTAATAATATAATAGACTTAACGGACGGAAAAATCAACAAAAATATACAGTGGAACCCCGGTTAACGAACGTCCTGGTTAACGACCAAATCGGTTAACGAACTTTTATTTTGCAAAAAATTTGTCTCGGATAACGAACGTAACGGTATTTTGTGTCAAATTTTAGTTGGTGTTAGGCATGCGCGAGTTATGCATTGCTTTTCCGAGTGTTTGTGCTATGCTTCTTTTTTCAGTTTTGTGATTTATATATTTAATCAATATGGCATCCAAGAAAGAAAAAAGTCATAGTGGCAATAGAAAACGACAACGCAATATAAACGACAATGCGCTATCGCATTTGAGAAAAATTTTGATTAAAATAGTAAGACAATCAACTTTAGATCAATTTCTTCTTCCTTACAGAAAGAGTTTGTTTGTTTGTTAAGTTATGGTAACGCAACATTTGGGCGATCTGCCTAGGGGAATGCCTTCTGGGAGGTGTTTTTAAAGGAAACTGGCCCCTATTTAGGCGTTACAGACGTGGAGAAAACCCGGAAAACTCCACATGGACAGCCCGTCTGAGCGAGGTGCGAACCCACGAACGAACTGAACTCCCCGTGTTTAAGGTACGAAGACCACATAGCCACTGGTGGGTTTTTTTTACCGAAAGAGACTTCGACTCGAAGAATCTTCCAATGAAGTGCTACCCGTTATTTTTTGGAGGGGATTCCCCTTCTAAGCATTAAGGTTCGTATATCTCCACTTTTCTGCCACCACCTACAACAAACGAAGGTGTGTACAGTGCTAGTTTATTAAACAAAGTTTACATGTTTGTTGCTGTAATGATACATACTACGTTTTCTTACATTTTCATCAAAGAAAATTACTGTATATTACAAATAAAATCACAAAAATTTCGGAGACTAGAACGGATTAATTGCATTTGCATTAATTTCTATGGGAAAAATTGCTTCGGTTAACGAACGGAGTCGTGGAACGGATTAAGTTCGTTAACCGGGGTTCCACTGTAATAGACTTTAATGAATTTCGTTTCCAGACCTAGCTGTTGACTCGCGAATAGAATCTGAACTAACGTCTAAAATTTCTTATTTTGAGTGTGGGATATTTGGACATCCCGGCGTAAATGTAGCTTTTATGCAAAACCCTTGTAACTTTTTTAATAGTCTTATCAGACGCCTAAAACAATTCTCCGAAAGAATGAATAGCTCGGAAACTCTTGTTTCTTGTTGTTTTATTAGTTCTGAAGTTCCGACAAAGCTTTGTCGAGAACGGCCGGCTGCTTCCGTCTTTTTTTCGAATAGCAAGGAAAAGATATTTAAATTTTCAATTGATTTTCTTCCTGTTTTTGACTCTTTCCGTCTGTGAATCCTAAGAGGGTTCTTTTTTTTAATGAGCCATCGTGGATTCGGCCATGTTCATAATGAGTGGCCGAAAGGTGAGGGACTGGACACGACGTATCCGGACCGAACATTCCTCGAAAAATTCCAAGGGTTTTCGACCCTTCCGGATTTGTTTCAGGGTCATCCGGAGCAGAAGACTGGTATCTTAAACTCTCGGGCATTCGGCCTTCTATTTGGTTTTAAGCGTCTTTTTTTAAATTCTTATATAAAGTGTAACGATATCGATAAGAAACGCTTTTTTGGGCACGATGTCAGTTGTTCAATATTTGCTAACTTACATAAAGTAGAAAATATAAAGTAGCTCTATATTTTGCCTCAACTTCTCTATCCAAATCTGCTGCCTTGTTATCAATGCTTATCTCACGAGTTAGGTCGGTCTATTGTCCTACGCTTTGCAAGGACGATTCGATCTCTTCAATCTAAGCAACGCTGTCAGTAGTAATCAAGTTATCCTACACACGAAAACTTCCCAGCGCCAACCGAATGACAAGTCTTCAAAATGTTGGTTCCTCGGTCAGAAACAACAAAACACTTGTATTCGTTAATTCCAAATTCGGTCAGTACTGAAACCAAGGAGGCCAAAAGGGGAAGACTTCTTACTTTACTTATGGATACTTATGACTTGGATGAATATGTCTACAATCCCAACGTTCTTCATTAGCTTTGCTGAAGGGTGGACTAATGTTTCCTTGCATCCAATGATACTAGTTTCAAAATTCACATCGGTGAAACTCTTCCCTGGATAACAGCAAGTGATCACAGATATATTCTTGCTGACTTTGCTATTGATAAAACTACAAATAGTAATAACCATTCAATAAAGAAGAAGATTACTAACTGGGAATTATTCAGGCCCTTTGCCAGTATCTGGAGGACTTACAACTTTACTTCAAGAAACAGTAGACAAAATCTGGAAAACTGTTGAATTTCTTACTAAAGCGTTAAACTTGGCTAAAACTTCAGTACTAAAACAAAAATTACAACCTCAACTGATACCGTATGGAAGGCTGCTGAGCTCACCAACACTAGGAAGAACACCAGAAACCTCCAGAAAAAACTAAGTTGCAATAAAAACGATAACAATATTGATAATCTTAAAAAGGGAATACAGCCAGAAACTCAGGAAGTACAAAAAGATTAATAACCAAAGGACCATGGCTTGAAGGAAATTCTGTGGAAAGCTGAACAAAAAGAAACCCTGGGGAATCCATTATCAAATTGTCTTTAAGCAAAGAAAGAAAACTCATATACTCGACATTATTGAAAACGACCATGGTAATATTGATATCACGGAGAATATTAAACAGATCCTTGACTTTCACTTCCTCAATGACGACCACAAGTCAGACACAGATCATCACAGGCAGCGGCGGCCTTATCCATTGCGAGGCTCTGGGCGGCAGATCTTTGCGAGGCCCTGGGCGGCAGATCTTTGCGAGGCCCTGGGCGGCAGATCTTTGCGAGGCCCTTGTTCTTTGTGCAAAGTATGTGAATTGAAATAGTAGGCACTTATTAATATTAATATATACTGTACTATAAATTAAATTTATTTTATTGTTATAACTAATAGCCAAGGATAAAATAAAAAGTTTTAAATATCAACTTTTTTCTACTTGGTTGTTGCGCGAGGCCCCTCCAAGAGCGAGGCCCTGGGCGATTGCCCTGCTCGCTACCCCCTAAGGCCGCCACTGTATATATGTATTTTTACCATTGCATATAAATAAACATAGTAAAGTAGTATATATTTTTTACTTTTTGGAGTCTCTGGAATGAATTAATCAAATTCCTATAAAAACCTATGATAAATTGATAATTGGATAACGAACAAAGTCTTGGAACGGATTATGTTCGTTAACCGATCACTCACTGTATATATAATGTAAAGTTATGTTTGATTGATTCAATAGTTTTCATATATACAAAGTCTGATTGGTTGTAGTTTCAAAGCTCTCATTGGCTGTAGCTCAACGACTGCTCCGACCCGACTACAAATATTTAACTTTTTAAATCTGTCCGACTGGAACAACCAGTCAGTTGGCTGACTGCTGTTGCCATGGCAACATGACTTGGAGTTGGTCCAGTTGGTCATAGTATGAAACAGCCTTAAGAGCCTGTCTGAACTCAGCCTAAAACATTGAATAGTAGCATGAAGTACAGTACAGTGTAGAATGTAATACATAAAACTGCTTAATACTTTAATGTTCCTACTGTGTTTATATATTTAACACTTAAAATTTATTGCTAATTTATACTTATTGTTNTGTTTTTGGCCAAAAACTCATGTGTTCTGAGGGACAAATGAGCCTGCGCGTTGTCGTGGTGAAAGAACCACTCGCCACTCCTCCAAAGTTCGGGCTGTTTTCACTTGATTTTGTCTCTTAGGTGATTCATAACACCAGGTAGTACTCCGTGTTGACTGTCTGGCCTGTAGGTAGGTATTCGTGATGCACAACCCCCTTTGTATCGAAAAAAACAGTCAACATCACCTTAACATTTGAACGAACTTGTCGAGCTTTCACCAAAACAAGATATCAAGAAACGGGTTAAAGGAGGTTACTCGGGAGGTTTCCGCGGACACAACGCCTCCAAGCGAATTAAAAAATAACCAACTGGAGGCGCTCTATTCAAAAAGTTCGGGAACTTTTTGAACAACCCACGTACATTTTCTTTACATTTTAGAATTCACAATAACCATATAAAAACAATATATTTTTGTTTATTTGTTTATTATAAACTGTTGTCCAACAGAAAAGTAAACTATCTTATTTACAAATCTTTTCAAAATAGACAGTTTGACCGGGCCCTTCTAAAAACTGGGCCCTAGACATTTGTCTCATTTGTCTATGCGATGATTCGGCCCTGTGTGTACCAAATTTCACCTCTTTAGGTTCAGTGGTTTGCTCTGGGCGGTGATGAATCACCCAGTCAGTCAGTCAGAGGACAAGTAATGTTATATGCAGTATTTAGATAGCCAATTCGGCTTTAGAAAAGGAAAATCTACTATCAAGGCCGCCCTAAGCGTTAAACACTTCGTAGAAAAAGCTTGGCAAAACAACGAACATGCTATCCTGATTGGGATTGACTTTCAAAAGGCCTTCTACCATCTTTGATGGTCCAGCATTTTCAAGGGCCTAAACCAAGGGTGGCCAACAGTTTTTGCCCCCGGGCCGAATTGGAAATAAAACTTTTTTCACGGGCCGAACCAGAGGCTGCCCTAGGAAGATTTTGAGGTGGTGTGAGATCTCATTGTGGTGTCACCTCGTAGAGACTAAATTGTACGTAGAGATTACAGATACATTTTTCACATTATCAATGCAACATTCTACGCTGTACTTAAGAGATTTGTAATGGAGGGTCAACTCTAAACACACAGTAAAAGTTGTTGAGCTTTTTCTTTCTTTTTTTTAGACGTCAGAATTTTTCATCGAGCGATTCGTACTTCAGTAGGTAATATTGAAAGATTAATCGCGGGCTGCATAAATTCATTAGACGGGCCGTATGTTGGTCATGACTTGCCTAAACGATACTCAGTGTCCACAAAACATCAAAACTCTCCTCCAGGACTATCTTAGTAATAGGCAAGCTGGCTTCTATAGTGATAGCTTAACGGTTGAAAAACAGATCATGAGAGGTTGCCCACAAGAGTCCAGAAGTGGCCCAAACCTGTGGAATTTGACTTTTGCCGACCTGCTCAGAAAAATCCTGGAGACTGACGATATCAAAATTCAAGCTTTCGCCGATGACGCCCTTATCATGATGACTAACAAAAACTGCGATCATTTGAGGAATGAGGCAAAGTTCTCAACAATAAATGTTTGGAGTCACCAAAACAAACTCCACATAAACAATAACAAATGCGAAGCAGTGGTCTGCACTACGAAGAACTAGTGGAGCCGGCTTTAAAAAGCCATTGGTATTAAAATTGACGGGAAGAATATCAAGAACGTCGAGTAGATCAAATATCTGGGGATATTTGTTTGTTTAGTTATGGCAATGTAAAGTATTTCTTTTCTTTTTTCACACCCTTATGAGACAACACTAAAGAGCCTTTCTGGCAACCTCGGCGTAGGTAGTCGTAGTTAAACGGGGCGGCATAATCGGTATTGCACACGGGCGTTAAAACAGCTAGCGGACCCCCTGACAGAGAGTCCACCTTTTTTAAACGGAGCTTCTTGCCAGTCAACAAAAAGTAACTTCCTATACTGTTCTTAAATTATGCTGATGTTGCTTACAAGATGCAGAAACGGTAAGTAAGAAAACATAGGTTTTGAAACTTGATTTCAAACTATTCCAAAGCTTAATTTTGATAGACTCTGGAATGTGTCTCTTGCTGATGGAAGTCTACGTGTGACTTGATTGAGAACTTCTTCTTCAAGCATAGCCATGCATCTTTCCTTGGCATTCTTAATTTCTAAACGAGCCTTATGACTGTTGTTCTATATGAAGTTATTGCATGCCATTATGAATTTGGCACCAAAATCAACTTCTTGAATCTTTTTCTTTTGCCTGTTTACATTGTAAAACCTGTTCTGAAGTCTCTGCTGATGTAAGAAAAGTTATACTCAAACCTCGACACAAAAACCTTCAAAATGCAGCCTTTTTATTCAAATTTTCAAACGTTTTCGGCTAGTTTGAATGGCCTTTTCGTCAGGAACAGAAAAATCGAATGATTCTGAATTTCCATAACATTTGTTCTGGAACTTTTTGAATTTTTGAATTTTCTTAGATGTCTAGTACGCAGGCTCGTGCATAAATAATTACAATCTATATTAGTACTTGTACCAATATAGATTGTATGTATAGTTTATGTGTATATTGGTACAAGTACCAATATACACATAAACTATACATACATATACAGTAGAGCGCTGATTATCTGAATCAATTGGGGACTGGGGTTGTTCGATAAATTGATATTTCGGATAATCGATCATGCACGAAAAAATATATTAACTTATCCCATGTTGAAATTTTTCTCCGTTGCGTGTCGCTTCGCGTTGAATTTTCGTCGATGTTAAGCCTAACAAAGACTATTGTATCGTTAAAAATTATTTCTTTATTTTGTACAAAATAAATATATTGAAAAATATAAAAACAATAAAAAATTATACTTCAGAAGTTAATTTAGTATCAAAAACGTAAAATATTTGAGTAGCCCAAGACATAGCCAAAAATTGCAGCGCCACAGCACCGGCAAAAATTTAAATTTGCCGACTGGAATTCTTTCGGATAATTGACGTTTCGGATAAGTGACTTTCGGATAATCGACGCTCTACTGTTATACATGAATAAATAACTAACTAAATGAAATAAATATGTAAATAGGTACAAAACTACATTAGACAATTGCTAATATAGAGAAGGACACCATAGTGCCTGTTCATTAACTGCTCGTCCCTTTATTTTATAATAGAATAATCAAATTATTCCCGCTCTCCAAGCTGTTGAGACTTTACTGGACTCTCTGAAGTTTATTGCTAATCCTTCCTGGTTTGTCTTGTGTATCTGCCATGCTTCTGCATATTTTAAGTGTCTCTTATTCTGGATCTTTTGTATTATTTTAGCTCTTTCCCAATCCATCGTGACTTCTATCGGGTCTGCTATAACATACGTGGCTAGCGCAACGATTGGTCTGCACGTTCCTTTTATGCTCTTTTAGCCTTTCTTTTAACGATCTCCTCGTGGCTCCGATGTAGTATAGATCATTTTGTCGCCTTTCGTCTTGTACTGGTATTCTATATATTCCTGGAATCAAGCTCTGGTCTATGTCTTCCTTGTTTGTGCGTAACATTTGGTATACTGTGGAATTCATTTTAAAAATTATCTTTTTGTTTTTTGCTGCTGCTATTTCTTTGTAAATATCGCTTAGAGGTGTCACGTATTCCATTACAGTGTATTCTTTTATTCTTTCCCGCTCAATACTTTCGTTATCTTCTATTCAGAAAATTTCAGCCTGTAAAAAAATCCAGGAAAAAGGCCAAAAGGCCAAAGAAAATTTCGGAGGCCAACCAAGTTTGCAAAAGGAACCTTAAAAAGATCAAATTGGCAACTTGAGCGAACCATCTACACACCTCGGCCACGATCTTCGATCGGTGCCTCGGAACGAGGAATTAAAAGAAAGTCCGACCGCTAAATTAAAACAAAATTACTTTTTATTAAATAACTATAAATAAGAAAACATGTTACGCATTAATAAAAAACTCGTTTACAAATTTTATATTAATAAGTTAATTAACATTACGACGGACGTTTTAAAATAACGATAAATATAATTGTATAAATACCGAGAGGGCGCTGTAGGTGGAGAAAGGTTAGAGGAAATCTGGAGGTACGAATGTTTACGTTAAATTCTTATAGAATTAAGAAGCGTATGTTACGAATATACGATTTTCTTTCATACGGATGACTAAAGCGCCTGGTCAAATCTATCGTTGGAAATTTTGTTTCATTTTTAAAAGGACCGTAGCGCCAGTGATTTTCAATCTTTTTCTAATAGTGCTCACCCAACCTGATTACTATTGCTTTTTTCGTGTAAGAAACGTTGCGGTGCTGCTCAACATTCCCAAACTCAAACCTTTGGCATCCCGGTCGAAAACTGCCCAATGCAAAATTTCTGTGTCCCTTTTAATTGCAGTATTTACACATTTTTAATAGCTTTATCTATCTATTAAAATTATTTATTTATTTTCTTTTGGAAATTTTTTGGCTTTCAAATAAGAGTTACTTATTTATTTGGTTGTTATTAAATATTATTTAAAAACTTGAAAAACTTGCGTGCTAATACTGGTGAGATGGGCCGGATGGCCGAGCGGTCGAGATGGCAGTATAATGCTTTGGGGGAGAAAGGATCGAATGTGGACGGGTCGGGGAATCCCTGGGAATTTTTCGATGGTGGTCCGTTCGGATTCGTCGGGCCCCGTCGTGGGCCCGGCCGAACCCGTAATGGGCCTGCTATGACAGGCCCTCTTAGTGCCCGTGGGGCGGAAAGAGTATAAAAAAAAAGTACTGGCAAGACCTCGCTTGATGTCGACGGGTTGTCGGAAACTTCGCCGTTAAGCAGAAATGACTTATGACGAAATCGGTTTTATCGTAGGCTAAATAATATAGACGAGACGTAGTTTGGTTAATGTTACTCTAATTTGCAACCTGTGCATTTATTTTCCGGCTCGTAGAATTAATTTTATTGTTTGGTAACAAAATTTAACAATAGTAATCGTAAATGATTAGAAATATACTTGTATCTTTCTTTGATGAAATTTATGGGAAGACTTGCTGTATAATAATTACAATAGTGAAATTACAATTTTAAAGAGCATAAAATTTTATTATTTTAAAAAAATGTTTATTAATTAATAATTGAAAATTGAAAAATGTTCTTTGATTATGCCTGTATCAAAACGTATGGCCAGTTTATGCAGTGATCTAGATTGCAGCATTTTTTAAGTAACATATAAAGTTTTAAAATTTATTATTTGTAATTAAATATCTGGCTTTTACAACTTAAATTTTTTTAGATTATCTTCTTATGTTAAAATGAAGGTTTTTACAGACTAATTGTCTGTATTTTTTAAAGTATTGCCTTGCTAAAAGTTTTTTTAAAAAGCATGTTAAAAATTTCTTTAAATTCAAAATATATTAATCTGCATGTTGTTATTTTTTGCCAAAATAACAAAAGCAGCATCATAACGTCTTGTAAAATAAGGATTTAAAATATTTTCTTTTACGAGAAAAAAATTTTTCCTGCTATATCAATTGAAATTATATTTGACTACATCCTAATTGATTATTTCTGTTTTTGTTTGTAAAGTTAAACTAAATATGTGATTTAAACCTGACATATTTATGCTCAGTAATTGGCATGAAAGACTGACTAATTAAAGTGTAATGTGCATTAATTGAGTTTACAGTTAAAGATCACAATATTGATTATTTTAAATAGACAGTAGGATGGCAGAGGTGATTAAGACGTTGGCATACTGCCTTGGGAGATCTGGGCAAGCAATTCTGGGTAGTCTCTTCCAGATATGTCGGGCCTCGTTTCTTATCGCTGCCATTCCCATCACTGCCAAAACCCATGATGGCATGGAAAAAGTCAAAAACCGAAAAGGAAAAAAAAATAATATTTCAAATATATTTTGTGTATTGTCTAATTAATTTATCTATCATAAAATAAAATGCAAAATAATTAGGATTGGATAATTTATTGAAGTCTTACAGCAACATTGTTTTACTATAAATGACAAAATTTTTGAAAGTAAAAGTATATTTATTTACATTTCAGATAACTTGATTTGTAAACATTGGGAATGGCACACATAAAAACTCCTCTGACAGATCTGTTTGGCCAGTATGGAGTTTCTCTTGCTGGACGCCGCTGTAGAGATTTTGAAATGAATGTGGTCGAATGTCTCGAAGCTTATGGATTTAACAAAGGAAAAGTGAAATGCAAAGATGAGATTGATGACTATAATGAGTGTACTTTTGCTTTTAAACAGGTAATTCTCTATTTTATAATAATATAAAGTTGTAATAATGGAATATTATCTATAACAATTGCTGAACTAGATTGGAAATTGGTTAAGTGAGTGAAAATTGAGTTACTTTATCTGGACAGACAGACAGAGTAAGATAGTGAAAAATGAATAAAAACAGGATGTGTTTAGTATTGATAGCTCCGAAACACCTTAGATCCAGTAAAGAAAAAATTTATTGATGTTCTGATCTTTGTTTAAAGGTCATCATCAGGTTCTAAAGATAAAACAAAAATTGAACAAAAAGCAAATACAATTTCAATTTGTATCTATTGAATAATTTCATTTTTGAATTTGTTTTTTGTTCAATTTTTGTTTCATCTTTAGAACCTGGTGATGGCCTTTAAACAAGGTTGAAAAACATTAGTTCTATCAATAAATTTTTTTCTTTATGGGATCTAAGGTGTTTTGCACTAATCAGTTTTGTTAAGTTATATGGTATTTCATATTCTAACTTCATATGGTACTTCATATTCTTCATATTCTGTATATGTATGTATGTATATTCTAACAAGTATACATACATACATATATATACACACACATACATACACATACATAAAAACATACAAGAAAGACGTTGGCCTTACACAGTGTTCAGCCGGCAGAAAAGAGGGTAATGGAAAGGGAAGGGACAGTAGAGAAAGGTAGGATCCCTCTGAACGGCATACATAAGGCTACAGTACCCTCTATGTTTGATGCTGGTGTGCAGTTTTTAGGCTGCAAGGCCATAGTGCCCCAAAGGGTTTAAAAGAAAACCAGAATGTAGCAAACACCAATAATTGAGTGCTGCCACGAATAGCTAAGTGTAGAAGTTAGTGCCAAGTGGCTGTTAGTAGGAAGACTTATGTCTATTTAATACTCATAAAACTAAATGCGATCGCAAATCTTAAAACTACTTAACAGCTAGACAGACAGCGCGAAAAGCAAATGAACACAATGACAAACTAGACGAGCCAAACAGACTGACAAAGACAAATGAGCAAGACTCCAAAATTTTTATTTTTTATTTTATATATATACTAGCTGTTACCTGCAATTTCTTCTGTGGAGGTTTTGCAAGCAAACCCCATTTACATTCAATATTTCAATAACCATAGTAATTGTTATATAACACCTACCACTGAAGAGAATTGTCGAGAATCAAACAAACTATTTTCAATTTAATTAATTTTTTGGAACATGTACGATCATTCTATAATCGAACCAATATGCAATAACAAATTCAAATTTAAAACAGTTCGAACATTTTTAAAATCGAAATAGATAAAAATATTTATAACAATGTCTGAAATGTTATCAATTTAATACACCTAAGTACTGTAAGGTCTTTTTTTATGTGGATTATTTTTATGCGATTTTGAAGTTGTGCGGTTTGTATTTGATCCAAAAATTTCTTGGACAAGCATACATATATGCTTGTTTAGGAAGCCCACGTATAGACAGTCTCCAAAAATCGTGGAACGCTCAAAGCTCACTCCATTTGTTCCACTGACATATAACGTTTATGGATGTAAAGGACAGCTAGATCTACCTTAATCGCTTTAGTTCCTAGCAATTTTTGATATAAATGTAATTAAACATAAAAAATACTTAAAACTGAAAAAAACGAAATAAATGCATTAATTTTGAAGAAAAAGCTTCAAAGTTTAATTAACTTCCTTTGTCTCGCCCTTCTGTGAAATTTAACACCGATGAGTCATTGTTTACACATCTGATGATCTTGAACACAGCTGGAGTTGGATTTCCCGGGGCATTCTCATAGATGTCGCGGGAGGACAAAATTTTAAAATATATGGCCAGCTAGTGTTCACCCTACTTTAAACAAGTAGGGTGAACACTAGCTGGCCATATATTTTAAAATATTTTTTAAAACTTTGGAGACTTAAAAAACATTCCAAAAATTTCAAAAATGCCTTAAGGACCGTGTTTTATGCAACGCTATGTAACCTACCCGAGTTAACTTGGGCAAGGAACTAAAGGGGTTTTAATTAACTCTTCACATCCAGATATCAGTGATTTGTTTTTAGAGTGAGCTTTTGCAATTCGGGGATTCCCCTTGTATTACTTTTCAATAAAATAAACTGAATTAAGTTTGAATACAGGTATACCTCGCCTTACGTCGGTAATTGGTTCCAGGAGAACGACTTAAGTCGAATTTACATGTCTCCAAATCTACTTGTCACTAGGCTAAACCATAAATTGCCAATTCCGGTTCTGTATTTTATTTATTAATGCATTTTTAATAATGTATGGTTAATAAGGATTTATTTTAAGCTTACAAACAAATAAATTTTAGTTTTTAATATAGTACAGAAAAAAGTAATCTAAATTTACAAATGCAGGTACTGTAAATACAGTACATACTTGTAAATGTATATATTTTAATANTTTCGTATTAAAACTAATAGGATGTCACTTACAGCTTAAAATATAATTATAAATAATATGGAAAATATATAATTTATCACTTGTTTACGACTTGTGTGAATTTCTGTCAAGTACAGTAAAGGACTAATCTTAATTCGGAAGAGGAATTACATAAAACATGAAATATATCTTACTAGAAACAAGAATGGAAATATTATTTACTAACTTAGACTAACAAGAGTTGAATACAAATACAGTAAAACCTGTGTAAACCGTACCGTATCGAATATTTTCCCGGTTTGAAAGGTTTTCGTTTTATTAAGGTTTCGTTTTGTATAGGTTTTACTGTAGGCCTACTGTACTTTTTATAAAGAGTGAAGAGATAAATTTTCTTCCGTAAAATAAACTTTCAATGTATTGATAATCATAAGATTGTATTTTATTTAGATACATTTGACGTAAATTTTTTACGTTAAATCATTTAATTTTTGTGAACATTTGAAGTTAATAAATGCTAGATGCGATGGATTGAAAGTGAATAAAGTTGTTTTTAATTTGGTGATTACGTTATTTGTTTAATTATCGTGTTTTTCGGCGGATAAGGTGCGTATTATACGCCGGCATATATGGTACAGTAGATCCCCCCTATAACACTGTAGATAATTCCGTGTTATATAAATTCCATGTTGTACGAGTCACTTAGATTTTACAAATACGTGAACCGTTCACAGCCCGGCACACGTATTTGTAAAAGCTAAGTGACTCGTACAACATGGAATTTATATAACACGGAATTATCTACAGTGTTATAGGGGAGGTCTACTGTATATCCTTCTTGGTTTTATCGGTAGGCCTATAGCACAGAAAGTTAAAATTATTCTTAAAAGAGGTTTCAAATTTTCTGACATGGCAGTTTGTATCTATATAACGTCTCAATCTTTGAATATGATCGCTTATATTAAAGCCAAATAAATCTTCTCTATAATTTTCCTATATATATATTTTTTTTTTCATTGAAATTTTCTATAATACTTACTTTAAATCCTATTTGAGGTTGGCCTATCCAGATGACTAAAGCTAACAAACCCTAATCTAATTTGACCTAACTGGAAACCAAGCTAAGAGTTCCTAATCTAACTTACAACTAGGACTAATCAAATTTAGGCTGAAAAAGAAGACAGAAAATAAGAAATAAAATACAAAGTTGAAAGGCAGCTATATACTAACAATTGAAACAAAGCAAGAAAAAGCTAATTGACATCCATGCCCCTGGAATGAGTGCTCTCAAGAGCCCCACTAAGGGATATGAATGTGAGTAGATGATGGAACATTGTACATGTGTGAATGAGTTGGTGGAGGTTGGAAGGCCAGTTGTATCCTTCAAGAATAGCAGCTCTCATTAAACTATCTCTAATGTAATTGTACCTATTTCAGTGAAAAACTAAGTGAAGTGGTGTTTGGTCCTCCTGAATACCACAATCGCATTGTGTATTGTGTTCGAGATTAAATCTTTGCAAGTATGGCTTAAAGTTGCTGTGTCCTGTAAGTAGCTGAGTGAGGGTGTAACTAGGGTAAAAGTGGCAAAGAGTCACAGTAGTGTCAACCTTGGGATGAAAGTGTAGGTGAGCCTACCAGTGGTGCTGTGGTCCCAGTTCTCTTGCCAGAGAATGAAGATTTGCTTCTTGACGTGATTGTTGATTTACGAGATAGGAATGTAACTGAAAGTACTAGCGACTGAAGACTTTGCAGCTTGTTTGGCAAGACGGTTGGTGGTCTCATTTCCGAGAACTCCAGCATGACCTGGGACCCATTGGAAATCTATTCTAATGTTGTCTAAGTGTCTAAGGATCTGGTGTATGAGATGGACGAGTTTTAAGTGGCTATCAGACTTCACAATCTTATGTAAAGCTATCAAACTGTCAGAATAAATGCAATAGTGTAAGTAGTGTCTATTGTCCTTCCTACACCTAATGTGAATTAAGCTAATATAAATAGCTAGAGTTTCTTCCTGTGCTATTGAGCAGTGTATACCTAGACGGAGCAAGAATTGTGAAGAATTGTGACCTAAGTCAGAGTAGACTACAAAAGCGGCACCCACATCATCACCCATCTTGAAACCGTCAGTGTAAATCCTAAATGTGGGATGATCACCTGGATCTTCGAAGTAAACGTCGGGGGCAAGGGGGTGGTAATCGTAAGTCGGGAGGGTATTTTTGTCGATGGTGAATTTTTTGATATCAACGATCAAGGTCAGACTGAGGAAATCTTACCTAATCTAATTATTTTGTCGACATCCGAGTCGCTATAATCTCGCCAGGGTAAGGTGACGAGATTTTCTTGTCAAATAATGCATTTAATTTCTAAGTCGATAGGGGTCAATCCTGACATTACCAAAAGAGCAATAGTGAGTGCAGTCCTATAAGTCTTACAAATGTGGAGAGCTGCAATCCTTTGAACAGATAACAGTTTTTTACAGTTATGGAGTTTGGCAGTCACGTAGCCCCAGACCTGTATGGCATAGAGGAGTGCTGGCTGAATTGCACCCCTGTAAATAAGCTTAGTAGCATTAGGGCCAAGACCCGATGTGTTCCTAG